TATTCATTTTTACTATAATAATGAGTCCTAGCCAATAACATTTAAAGATATTTCATGTTCTAGATATGTTTTTTCTTTTCATAAATTCTTACAATTGTTCTGAAATAGAGTATGTCTTTATTGCATCCTGCATATAAAGTCCCCAAATTTCACAGGTTTTTTTGTTGTTGTTGTTGTTTATCTCACAGCCAGGCTCTTTTATCACCAGCTGTTATTCTTCTGGTGTTAAATATCTTGTTATTAGCTTTGTTTTCATTTCATTGATGTTGTATACAGAGAATTCAGTGTTTTTATCAGCTGTAGTAGAGTGCTCTGTGGGTTTATAATGATAATGCTACATTATTCTGCAAAGCATTTCAATTTGTATTCCTCTCTGAATTTTAATCAATTTTAATATTTTAAACAAATATTTGTTGAGTCCTTGGTGCTTTTGAGCCTAATCGTTTGCTTGCAGATGTTTCATTACCCAACTGGGTTTTCTCCCTGTTTGTATACGATAGTTTGCCCTGCCAGTGTTAATGGGGATGTGGTTTTCTCCCTGGCAGTTCCTTGATTAGGGTTTTCTTTTCTGCTTGATTGTTTGTCTGGTGTTAATCCCTTCTTATCTGGGTGTTGTCTGCTGGAGAGAATGTGTGTTTTTTTTTGTGTGTGTTTCTTTCTTAGCTTTTCCATTGGCTCATTTCAATGGTGTGTAAATATTGCTTATTTAATTTTTTAAATTTATATTTATATAAATTTATATAACCACCCATCTCACAAAACACATGACTATGTGTCTATTGATGGCTGATTTGTTTGAATGCCAAGCTTCCAGGAATTCTTTGGCATTTGGGGATTTAACTTGATCTAGGATGCTTACAGTTTCGTAGTTGAGTCGATCCATGTGTTGTGAGATTAAGCAGTTTTCTTTGTGTCTTCTGGCTGCTAGTTAGCATTCATGGAGGTGCTCTGTCTTATCTAGTGGCTGTTACAGTCCTTACAGTGTATGTTATAGATCAGAGGTCCCCAACCTTTTGGGCACCAGGGACCAGTTACGTGGAGAGAGGTTTTTCCGTGGACCAGAGGAGGAATGGTTTTGTGTGCTGCCTGCATCTCGCGGATGGGGCTTTCCTTGTTTGTGCGGACCGGTTGCTGGCATGCCATGGCTCAGTACTGGTCCACGGACTGGGGGGCTGGGGACCCCTGTTATAGATGATTCCCATTTTTTCTTATTGGAGTACTGGGTCTTTTGATTTACTTAGGATGTTTTGGAGAGGTTCAGTTGCTTTGTGTGCTACTGATGCCTTGTGGTTGTAATAATCTGTTGGTTTGTTTCTGATATGTTTTTGATATGTTAATGTGTAGTGTTATCCTTTTCATAGCTTGTATTGTTTGTTGTGTAGTAGGTTTGAGTGGTCAGGCACTTCTTGATAAATTTGTGTGGGTATCCATTTTGCTGGAAGATGTTGTATAGGCATGCTGTTCCTTTTTTTTGGTGTTCTGGGTTGTTGCAGTGCATTTGTAGGTCTGAATATAGTGAGTACAGCTCGTCTTGTAGGAAGTTGGATTGTTACTTTGGTAATGAAGCACTTGGTTACTCTAGGTTTTTGATATATTTGTAATTGCAGTTGTCTCCTCTACTGATGAGAATATCCAGGAAGAGTAGTGTGTTATTATTTTCTTCTTTCCTTGTAAATTTGAAGATGTTGATTGTTTCATGTGTCTCCTCCAGTTGTTCCTTTGTTTGTCTGTTGAATCTTGTCTACTTAAATTTCTAAACAATTACAAATAATAAGGAAGAAAGTATACATCCTTGCCTGGTGCCTTTGTTTTTTGGGAAACTAGGGAAGAGTATTCCAACAATAATATTTGCTGTTTGCTGGTGATATATATTTTCCATCCAAGTCTTAAAATATTCTCTTGCATTCATTTAATTTAAAGCAGCTAATAAAAAAGAGCACTGCAACTTATCATAAGCATTTTTTGCATCTAAAAATATTACTGCCACCTTCTTTTTCTTATTATTGATGTGCTCTAACAATTTATTATACATCGGCTATTGTCCATCATTTTTCTCTCAGGAATATAACCTAATTTGTTCATATGTATTATTTCTAAAAAATTTCAAATGTTCAGCTAGTATTGTGGAAAATAGCCTGTAATCAATATTCAGTAAAAAATATTGGTCTTAACTGTTAAACATCTGAGTTGTAATTCCCAGTGCTTTTTTTGTCATAGAATGCACCAGAACGGTGTTCCGGCTCCTTTTTTCGAACAGAGTTCATGGGACTAAGAAAAAGTTCAGTCAGACCTTCCAACTTTTAACGGAAAAAAAAAAAGTTCTCGCAAGGAGTTGGAAGGTCTGACTGAACTTATTTTTAGTCCCACAAACTCCGTTTCCTTGCAGCAGAAGAGAAACATACCAGAGCTGGAAAGCAGGTTAGCAAAGAAATGCTTTCGGGAAGAGAGAAGAGCTGCGCCAGGAGGAGAAGCCGCAGGAAATGGGGCTGCCGTTTCCAGAAGGAAAAAGGGAGATGCCGGGCAATGCAGGGCAGCATGTAGGAAAAACTAAACTAACAGAATTGTCTGACTTGGTTTTTTTCAATTTATTTTCATTGCAAGACTTGCTCACTGCTATCTGACAGGCCAAAAATGTGGAAGCAACTCTAAACCATATTCAAGTAGTTTTTTTCTTACAAAATACCCTAAAAAACACATTGGTTTTTGCCTAACTTGATAAATAATCTCTCACCTTTCAAAGTAGTAACATCTATATAAATAAAAATGTAAATGTTCATTTGTTCAAAATCTTAAATCTCCGAAAGTTCTTCACCGATTGCTTTGAAATTTTGACGTTGCATTTGAATACGCGCGTGTTTTTACATACCTATATTATATAGATGTCACACCTGTGACAGGTAAAAACATGCTTTTTTTGAAAAACAGCACCTGACAGGTAAAAACATGCTTTTTTGAAAAACAGCGCCATCTGTTGGACGTAAAAGCAACACACGCTTTTACCAGACTGAGCCACAGCAACGCGTGGCTGGGTACAGCTAGTATACTAATAACAATTTAAGAATCTTTGATATTTAAATATTTGATACTTAAAATAGGAGTTTTAGCAAGATATTGGATGGATACTTTGTTTATCACTGAGCACTGTGTTATAAATCATAAATATGTGAATTTGTGAAGGCCTATTTAACCTAGTTATTAATCCAAAGCTTTACGCTGTGATCTTTCATCCATGTTCTGTTTGGGACAGAATGACCCCTTCACATTACTTGTGAAGCTTGTGCATGCGATGTGCTGAGAGAATGTGTTAAACAGGCTGAAGAAAGTAAAGTCTGAGAAGACAGTTTTGCAGATGCTGTGCATGATCACTAGTTTCTAGACATTCATTACTTTCTAAAACTGAACTGCTTCCTAAACTCCCAGATACCTAAGATAAGCCAGAAAAGCAATGAAAGCAACAGGGCCTGCATGAAACAAGGGCTCTACATGTCTGAAGGTGGGACGCTCCATTGGGCAGACTCTTGAGACCAAGAGTTTATAAAGCATTTTAGCAGAATGGGAAAAAAACAATCTGTCCACAATATCCACCTTGTCTAGACTCTGAAATCTCCTTTTCTCCAGCTCAATAATGTTTCAACATATTCCACCTCTGCTAATATAATACTGAAATGTGCTTATTCTCTTTCTATTTTTGATTTGAAAAAGTTACATAAATAGTAATTTAACTAAATTCTCAAATTTCTTTCACACATGTTAAAATTAGAGCCATGCCACAATTTTCTAGCTCACAAAGTCCCTGTATCAGCCTAGTTTTGCTTGATTTGCCACCACAGGTGCAGACTAAATACTTCAGAGTACAAATGGGGTTCATTTTACTTCTTCTCAACAAAACCCACAACCCCATTTCACAGAGAAAATTGGCAAAGTACAAAATAAATACCTGACAAGGATACCAGAGGGGGGTTAGATGTAAATCTGGCTGAGCCATAAAGATTGTGATTCTCAACTTTAAGAAAGGGACCCAGAAATGTCTATGAGCCAAGATATCAGCCAAAAGTGTAACCAGTCTTTTGCTCCTCTGTAAAGAAACACCTTTTGAGGCTTTTCTGTGTTCTTAGCCAAATAATGAACAGTCTACCAACAAATAACATGCAAAATGCCTGGCCAACGAAGAGTTTTTTTTTAAAGAATATTCTGTAATAGGAAAGGATTGCTTGTCATCAGAAACACTTACGAAATTCAGGTTTTTGATGTCCATGTGATGGGCATTAACATGTTTACCCCGAAACAAAAGGATGGATTTGTAATATATCTAGAGATCTGTTTTAGAAATATCCTGCCATTACATGCAGAAAAAATCCTTCATTGATAAATTCATACTGCCAAAGGAAGGATGGAGGCTAAGATTCAGTACTGTTGTGTCCATTCTAAAGAGTGGGCAAAATGATGTCTGAGCACCCCTGAAGAGCAGTCCAATGTTAGTTCTGGAGACAGCAGTTCTTAGTATATGGATATCACACTTCTAGAGCACTAAAATGACTTTTTATTGCTTTCAACACACAGGACACAATTTCTACCCTATTTAACACATTGGTGGCTTTGTGTAATGTAATTCACAGATGTCAAAATGTTCTAATAAATGACTAATGATGAGTGATAAAATTTGCTTTCAATTATTCACCATATTTTGGAAATTAATACAAAGGTCTGTTGATTAAAAAAAATAAAACTAGTGTAGAGATAGAACCGCACTGCTCCCTTGGCACAATTTGTAGTTAGTTCATATTTTTGATATTTGTATGTTCCAGGCTCTCTTAATCTTGGGCACATTTTGATTCCTCTAAAATGGAAAATGGCTCTTCCACACAGTCTATAAACTTACCTTTACTAGAATGCCTATTGTGTCTATTTATTTACAGTTGTCTCTGTTAGTCCATATTCACTCCTACTAGTTTTTCAGATTCCCCTCCCAAACCACAAATTGGACACAAAATGAAACTCACACTTTTCCAGTGCCATAACTTTTGTAGTCTACTACTGCTGAAACAGCTACAATTACAGCAGGCATGCCATAGCCAACCAAATAGAAGTATTTTCTACGTGAATGTTCACTCTCGAAGACTTCCACCAACATTATGTAGAGCTGTACTCCTTCCAAAAACATCCAAGTGAAAGCAGAGAGGAAGAAGAAATGTAGGAGAGCAGCAAACACAGCACAGGCTATCTGGGAGAACAAAAAAGACAAAGTAGAACAGTAGTTACACGTGTGTGTTGATTAAGGGTGGGTGAAAATTATGCAGTTAGGTGAGCCTTCTGCTGTTTACATATTAAACTGAAGGTATAAATGTACGGATGGATCTTGTGATTTATTTATTCTTTATTTTCAGGATTCAACCATTTAATTATTGTTGTAAAGAAAAATGCTATAATACCATTATGAGGTCTTACACATGTGTATGTGATACAGTATCAGACTAAACTAAACGAAGGGGAATCAACTATACAAAGAGCTGAAGTATAACCGATTTTTTTCAGGGTTGTTCTAATTTTGCTTCATGCACCAAGCCAATGGTATAATGGACTCCTTCCGTTCACATGATTTCATGATTTATAATATATCAGTAGTTACAAATGTGATAAATGATCATGTTCCCTGTAGCTAAATCTCTGACTCAAGTTTGAATCTATGTAATTTACATGACAACAGCAGTGGTTTTAATACTAGGAAGGAAATGGCAGTGAAGTCCTGAAAAACAAAGCTGTACATGTTAAGAAATCTGCTTTAAATGGCTTAAGCCAGTTTGCTGCAATCAACTGCATTTGAAGATTTTATCCTCCTTATCCTGAACATAAAGCAAGTTTCAACTTATCATCCAGTCAGCTGCTATACATGGAATATGGAAACAGGACTGTTTCCTTTCAGTGATTCAATTGGGTTCATGAATGAAGGCAAATATATGTATCCCAGGATAATAAGAGAAGTTCCCTGAGGATGGGCTCCAGCACGAGTCCAAAAGTTTGGAAGAGTAAGCTCTGGTTCTGGTGACCAACTCAGATTGGATCCTCAAATGGGTTCCATGTTAGTGTTTGGTTTTTCAATACCACATCTCTGTTTGTTCAGTGGTCAGGAACTTCCTTGGCTTTTCATACTATTATCCCAAATAAAGGGATCATGAGGGAGTTGTCCCAATAGTCGTGCTACTATCATCATTAATGAGGAATCATGCCTTTGAGACATTTTTGGAAAATTTCCCCTGTCGCTCAGTTTCTTGGCTCACAAATTTGATGGACACTTTTAAAAAGAAATTTGAATTTAATAAACTAGTAAAACTAGTAAAACTAGAATTGAATTTCTAGAAAAGGGCTTCCCAACCAGGGGTGCTCACACCCCCTGGGGGTGTGAGATGATATTCCAGGGGTTGCAAAAACTTGGGTTTAGAAGTTTCAAAATTATAGTGTATATGCATAATTCATTCTGAAATTTTGTAAGGGGTGCAAGAATATATCAGAAGCATTCTAGGGGTGCAGGGTATAGAAAAGGTTGGGAACCACTGGTCTAGAATTCAGTTCCAAGTATCTCACTGACTTTTCTCACATCAGTAATTTTCCTATTTAAAATGGGAAGAGATATGTATGCTGTATTTGCACTTAACAATTGTCTGAATGGCAGTATAGGATAGGATATTCAATGACGAATAAGCAAGTGTACAGTATATGAGAGTTTTTAATCACTGAACTATACTTCAACATTCCTCAACTGTGCTATAAGACAGCTGTTTTCTAAATGTCATGTATATGCAAATGCTTAATAGAATAGCATAGAGATGGAAGGGACCTGGGAGGTCTTCTAGTCCAGCCCCCTGCTCAAGCAGAAGAACCTATACCATCTCAGACAAGTGACTGTCTAGCCTCTTTTTAAACATCTCCAGTGATGAAATGCCCACAATTTCTGGAGACAAGCTGTTCCACTGGTTAATTGTCCTCATTGTCAGGAAGTTTCTCCTTAATTCCAGGTTGCTTCTCACTTTGATCAATTTCCAACCATTGTTTCTTGTCCTGCCCTCTGGTGCTTTGGTGAATAACGTGACCCCCTCTTCTTTGTGGCAGCCCCTCAAATACTGGAATACTGCTATCATGTCACCCCTATTTCTTCTTTTCTTTAGACTAGCCAAACCCAAGTCCTGCAGCCATTCTTCATATGTTTTAGTCTTCAGGCCTTTGATCATCTTAGTTGCTCTTCTCTGAATTTTTTTCCAAACTCTCAACATCTTTTTTGTGATATGGTGACCAAAATTGGCTGCAGTATTCCAGGTGTGGTCTTACTAGGGTTTTATAAAGCGGTATTAATATTTCATGTGATCTTGATTCTATGCCTTGGTTTATACAACCTAGGATTGTATTAGCTTTTTTGGCTGCTGCTGCACACTGCTGGCTCATAGTCAAGTGATCGTCCACTAGGACTCCAAGGTCCCACTCACAGTTACTGTTTTTAAGTCAGGTCTCACCCAATCTGTACTTGTACTTTTGATTTTTCCTGCCTAAATGTAAAACTTTGCTTTTCTCCACATTAAAACTCATTTTGTTGGATAGGACCCATTGTTCAAGTTTCTCAAGATCTTTTTGGATCCTGAGTTTATCTTCTGGGGTGTTGGCTACTCCTGCCACTTTGGTGTCATCTGTACATTTGATGAGTTTTCCTTCAATTCCCTCATCTAAGTCATTGATGAAGATAGTGAAGAGTACTGGGCCTAAGACAGAACCTTGTGGTACCCCACTGCTTACTTCTCTCCATGTGGATGTAATGTCATTGAGGACTAATCGTTGAGTACAGCTTGCCAGCCGGCTACAGATCCATCTGGTGGTGATGTTGTCTATTCCATCTTTTTCTAGCTTACCAAGGAGTAGGTTATGATCTACTTTATCAAATGCCTTACTGAAATCTAAGTATACTACGTCCACAGCATTTTGCTGGTCTACTAGTTTAGTCGCTTTATCAAAGAATGAAATAAGATTGGTTTGACATGATCTGTTTTTAACAAACCCGTGCTGGCTACTAGTTACAACTTTGTTTGCTTCTAGTTGTTCGCAGATCTGTTTTTTGATTATCTTTTCTAGGATCTTCCCAGGTATTGATGTTAAACTGATTGGTCTGTAGTTTCCTGGGTCTATTTTTTCCCCTTTCTTGAAGATGGGAACCACATCAGCCCTTTTCCAATCCTCGGGTACTTCCCCGGTGCTCCAAGGTTTATGAAAGATGTGGTACAATGGTTCTGAGATAACATCTGCCAGCTCCTTCAGAACTCTGGGATGTAATCTGTCGGGTCCCGTTGATATATATTCATCAAGGTCGGATAGGTTTTCTCTTACCATTTTCTTGCTTATTTTAATTTTTGTGTCTAGTTTGTCTTTTGTAGTGGGTTTTTTGGTATGTTGGGCTATAGTTTGTTTTTGTGTGAAGACTGATGCAAAGTATGAGTTAAGCAGCTCTGCTTTCTCCCTGTTTGCTGTTATTTTCTTTCCATCTTCTCTCTTTAGTGGACATACAGTTTCTTTGACTTTTTTCTTGTTGTTAATATGTTGTAAGAAACTTTTTTTATTATTATCTTTGATTTTTGTTGTGAATCTTTGTTTCTTCTAAGCCTTTGCTTTCCTGACTTTATCTTTGCATGTTCTGGCTGTCTGCTGATAATCGGCTTTAATTATGTGACCCTCTTTCCATTTTTTATATTTGTCCTTTTTATCTTTCAGTTTGTCAGAGAGATCTTTGTGCAGCCATGTTGGTTTCTTCTTGAATTTCTTCGTTTTCTTTTTTAGTGGTATTGTGTTGGTCTGGGCTTTTATGATCACATTTTTCAGAGTTTCCCATGCTTCTTGGGTTGTTTTCCCCTTTAGGATTTTCGTCCATGGGATCTTTCCTAGGTTCTCTGAGTTTATTAAAGTCAGCTCTTTTGAAGTTCAAGACACAGGTTGGGTTGTTTTCTATTGCTAATGTTTTGCATTATATTAATTCCAATATAATGTGGTCACTTTCGCCCAAGGTTCTGGCAACTTCAACTCCCTTTATCACTTCTTCTCTATTAGTAAGAATTAAGTCCAGTATAGCTTTACATCTAGTTCCCTCCTCCATCTTTTGGGTGACAAAATTGTCAGCTAGGTTGGTTAGGAATCTGTCTGATCTCCCACTCGATTTTGTGTCTGAGATACATTATAGTTACTTGCTTAATGTAATATTTAGCATCCTGATTTTCTTAAGATTTGGGAGAGACTGGGCTGAGAGAGACTTGTTACAAAGACTTGGTTGCTTTTTAGCAGCCTGGGCAAGTTCCTGACATTGGCACTACTTTTATTTGGCTACATATCAGATGATAACCAAAAGTACGTGGATACCTATTGTACTTAGATACAATAAGGTTGATAATTCTGTTGCCCTTAGTGGGAATTGGCATAAATGGGACTGGAATGAACTCCATAATATACCTGGAAATGTGTCCCAAACTAGATAAATGTCATCTTTTTCTCTCAACATGCAAATGAAAGTAGTAGTAGGAAGCTGTATTGGATATGTTCGCTGCTTTTGTAAAAAATTGTAAAAATAATAAAGGCGGAATACAACCAACCAACCAAGCAAACAAACAAACATGAGTCTGAAAGGAGCCAGTTACTTCAAAATCATATAGTTGACCTAACTGGAATCTAAGTTCTGATACCTCTGTTCATGGAAAAAAAAGTCAAATTAATTATTTCAGAAAAAGATTCGAGGGGCTGGAATGGGGATAAAGTCAAAAAACAAACCAAACCAAACCAAACCTGGGAATACTTTGGTTTTTCTTATACTGCCTTTATAGAGAACATACTCTCATGAAGAACAGAGTTTCTTTAAAGATTATATAGCTAGGATGACATGAGTGAAGGTTTTTCATGAAAATTATTCTTCAGTACACTGCAATCTTTTGTAGTGCTTTAACTTTTGTGGGGTATTTATCATTACATTTATTGCTAATATAAAATAACTGAACTGAATGAATGGGGAGCCACAATTATAAATTCAACCTAGCAATATCACAGGGGCAGGATTTCTGCTCTTAGAGGCGTTTTTCATCATGGATAAATTGATATAAAGACCTTGAGAGTCAGATCTTTAAAGTTTCAGAAGGCATATTTAATCATTTTAAGCTCTATTTAAAAGTGATTCTTTTCTATAACATGTGCCTTGTTTGAAGCAAT